AATGGTGTCTCACTTGGGAGAACCAATCCATTCTGAGTTTTAGAAAAACTACCAATGCACCTTCCGCTCCTCCAGTGTGTCGTGTGCCATCGAGCTGTCGGATGATGGGGCAGTCCCTTCTCAGGGGGATCCAGCGTGTCATTCGGTGCTCTGGGTGAGGACCAGATGTCGATTGCTGCATAGGAGTGTAGGCTATTGTCACTGGAGAGGAAGATAAAGCTGAGCTTCCCCCTTCTGGGGTGGTCACTCATGCTGAATTGGATTTAGAGTTGACGGCCATGTTTGCCCGAGCCGCCGTGGCCATGGGACTTGAGTGGAATCTTCCACCTTGTCCCGAGCGCTCACAGTTAGATGATTGGTTCTTAGGGGGCGGAGTGCCCTTAGAACAAGTGTCCAGGCACATTATTTTTGGACAGGACCCTGACTGCAGTGGCATATCAATTACCTAGAGTTGCTGGAAGTGCTACTCGGCCTGCGCTGCTGCTTTAGGGCAAGGACGTGTTGGTCCGCACCAGAGCATGTGAGCAAAGTGGAGCAGTGTGACGTATATTAGACATTAGTATTTTAGATTTCTGTTATTTTATGTCTGTGAACATAACTACCGTTGCAAAACAGGCACATAAAAATACATAAACAAGATGAAATGCATAAAGAACTCCTCTGGATTATTATGCCCATAAATGCCATTCGGGTAACACTTTGTAATAACTACACACTATTAATCATAGTTAAGCGTAAACAGTTAATTCATCATTTATAAAGCATTAAAGGTGGAATACCTAAGATTTTTGCATTAAAATATCCCAAAATCACAAGGCCAGTGTGATATATTTAGTTAAGATGATAACTTACAATATTCCAAATGTGTCAAACAATGTTTAAATCGTGAGAAAATTGAGATTTTAACCAAGGAAACGGGGCGTGTGAGCAGGGGTGGGCTGGAAGTCACCAGTCAATCGCGTCAAATCCGCATTACCTCGGTTTCCGCTCGTATTGCGTGTAGTCCTGGACAAATGTGGAAGTTGTAGTTGTGCGTTAGTGTCTATCAAGCAACAAACGTCAGCTTGTTTCGCGCATTTGTTATGGAATGGAGCACAATTATTCTTTAGCGATTGCACCTGTTTCTGTCGACAAAGTCAAGTCTCATAAAAAAACAATCTTCACAAATATGTCTAAGGATTTCGACAGAGAGGAAGACTTGCATTTTTTTTGCCCAGCCATATTTATTTTTTATTTGACACACCAGCAGCGTCTTACGTCATTACATCACTGCGGACTCATGAACGCGGATTGACAACAGAACCGGAAGAGAATACAATGCTGAATAAAGTTTTAGTTTTTGTTATTTTTGGACCAAAACGTATTTTCGATGCTTCTAAATAGTCTAACTAACCCACTGATGTCTCATGGACTACTTTGATGATGGCTTTATTTCCTTTCTGGACAAGGACAGTTTACACAATTTTTTACATTGATTTTCAATGGAGGGACAGAAAACTCTCGGACTAAATCTAAAATATCTTAAACTGTGTTCCGAAGATGAACGGAGGTCTTACGGGCTTGGAACGACATGAGGGTGACTGTGAGTCATTAATGACATAATTTTCATTTTTGGGTGAACTAACCCTTTAAGTAGTGGTGTGGGGTAAGTAAGCCTATTATACGTTTGGGTAGGATTAGTGTTGTGGGAATGGGATACATGTGTATTACACGCAAAAACTGCCCAGGCTATATCATATGCACGTAAAAACTCATTTTCGCATGTAAAGAGCGGGGTACAACACAACACAACACTCTTGAGATGAGACTGTGCTGGAAAAGTATAACTTGGGAGCTAAAAACAATATAAAATTAATAAAAAAAAATACTTGATAAATAAAAAAAGGGATGCAGGGATGTGTAAAACTTTTTAAATGGCCAGCATTCTAATGCCATACAAGCAGAACAACATGGAATATGGCCACAATGAATTCCACTGAAGGTGTCAGTGCACACAGATTTCATGTGGGCTTGATTGTGAAATTTACAATGGAGCAGCATTTCCCTGTGTCCCTGTGAGTCTTGATGTACCATTACAAAATCAGGGTTCCTACGCAGTTTGGAAAAGTATGGAATTTGATTTGAGTAATTTCCAGGTCTGGAAAAGTATGGAAAAAGTTAATCAGAGTATGGAAAAATATTGATGTTTCCAGACTATTGTACCTATTTCGTTTTCTAAATATAAACTTAATCACTTCTAAATGTATGCAATCGTCTTTTTCATGGCATTTGGATTTGGCTGCCAGCGAGCGCTGCCTAAAGATCGTTTTTACACTTGATCTGCCTGAGTCTAGGTCTGCACTGTGATTGGTTGTTAGGCAGCAGTTGCCATCACAGCGCCCCTACCTCAAACAGAGTTTTACTAAACATCTTTGACTTTGACATCTTTGACTAAACAACTAAACATGACTTTAGCTCTATTTTCTAATTTTCTGGTTAATTGTACATGAACATCCCTTTTGTTTCTGTAGGGGTTTACAGTTATTTAAATTTACAAAATTACAAAAAATGAATTACATTGCACTGTACAAATGTACAAATTTAACATGATAGTATACACATTTTGACTGTAAGTAAGAGTGTAACATACTTGTCAGTGCTGATAGCATTGTGGGAAAGTGCGCCACCATCCGTTGTGCTTGAGGATCGTCTATCTACTTTCCTATTCTAATGAAATCCAAAAACGCCAATAATAAATCTTTGGAATGTAACATACTTTTTAGCAGTTGAATTTTAAAACAATTTATCAGAACAAGTTAAAGGCACACTTCGCAGTAATTCCGTTTTTGTCAAACAGCGACCCCTGGAGTCGCCGTGGAGTCCTTGTGACGTGTTACTTACTGTAGTATACAATAGTACATTGTGTTTAATTAGTCGTTTAATGAGATCTAATATATGTTGTTAGTGTTGAGAATTTTTCACGTGAAGAAATACATAGATCCGACTCGGTCCAGTGGCAGAACTTTTGCCAAGCGTGTCAGAGGTTCTGGGTTCTAATCCGCACGAAGTAGTATAGTTTTTTTCCCTCATCAAAACCGATTGTTTATTGGTGGTTGTATATCAAGCAGGGACACATTTTTTTGTGCATTAGGTTTTGTGTAACAAACATAGAGAGTCTCTCCGCAACGGATTGAAGTGTGCATCCGTGTGAAGGCTGTGCGAGTCACAACAGAACACTGTCTCCACGCTACTGATCGCAGCGGCAACGAGCACTTTGGTCACTTGATTTCAAAAACACATTTCAGATCGCCTCTTATTTAACAAACGAAAGAAATGAATGCTCGGGGGGGCGAGACGACCACCATTCAACCAGAAAGAAGTCATATAATCATTCCAGTAACTCCAAAGCTGTTCAGTTCAACTACAAAACCTGCATAGTTCCCCTTTAAATATGGTCAGAAAAATCTGTATGAGGTCTGGAAATTTGAGTCTGGAAAAGTATGGAATTTTGAAATGGAAATTGTGTAGGAACCCTGCAAAATGCATAGAACATAGTTTAGCATAAAATCAGACAAGTTAATCACAATGGAGAGGGACATCCTATTCGCTTATAGAGATACAGAAAAGGGGCATGTAAACTGCTTGTCTGTGAAAAGACAAAGTTTGAGGGTCACTGCACCAAGATAATGTGATCTGAAAGGCCTAAAAAAGTTGCTCCAAGTGGATTCTCCCTGTAATTAGTGTTCTGTATTTTGCTTTGAATAAAGTCTATTTAGCATCTGCTACTAACTAACATGACCTCAAACTTCAACACTGATTTCCGGTTTAAAAGAAGTCATAGGAGCCCCCATATTTTACAAACACACTCAAAACACATGCTGTTTGAGGAGAATACTAACTCTTTTATAAGCCCTACAGGGCTTGCAAATGCTCCAGAGTTTATTTAAAACCAGTAAAAGATCTGGAAAGAGCTCGGCCCCAGAAACACACCTAGCCCCTCAAGGCTTATTATAGCACAGTATCAAAAGTCCAGATTATAAATCCCACCCTCTCCTCTCAACACTTTCCAGATGCAGTCATAGGATGTAGTCCATGTTGTTTCTCTTCTACTACTGCTGCCAAATTTCGCACTGCAGTCTCTTATTTGGGTTTAGCGCCATCTGGTGTATGAACCCCTCTTTCTAGACCCCCTTATTGAAATGATGATAGAAAAAAAACATTGAATATTGATGGAATATTGAATACAGTATCAATTTAAAGAATAGGTAAAGAATTTTAAATAAAATGTGTCCTTTTGCAGGTTAAATGTAATCAACTTCCAGAATATTTAACATATTCTGTTATGCTTTACTGTGCACATCTTAGAGCAACCATTTTATTTCATGCTTATTTCACTTTGCACATCCTTTAAAATAAATCCTGTCATCCCCACTTCTCCAAAACATTTTTTACAGTACTACCGGTGTTGAGGAAAGTGCTGTAGTTGTTTTATTGCCATGCTGAAAAGTTGCTATACCCTAGTTTTTTAACCCAGTTTTATTTCCTTTATCAGAACAGAATGTGTGTATGGGGTGGGGGCTGAATATATTTGGGGAATATAAAACCGAATAATAGGTTTACTAGTCAATAATAATAATAATAATAATAATAATAATACAATATTCAGTAATTATAAATTATAATGAAACTATTATAAAATAAGAATGAAAAATTGTGTCGCTTAACATGTTGCAATGCATGGTTTAAATGCTAACACCAAGTGGTATTTACAATCATAACGTAAAATGACTGAAAGACAAATGAAGGCACATTTCCTCAGTGCTATGCATGGTATGACGATGATCTGCGCTCATAACCGTGTCTACCTGCCAGTGCCAGAGGAAAGCGAGAGGGTGGGATTCCTCGTGGGGTGGGCAACGATGCGCGCTATTGAATGGTGAGCGCATAGTGAATGAAGCTTCAATGGAGGAGGCAAGGATGACCGCGACAGCGCACGCGCCACACCCCGCGTTTAATTAAAACATCTCAGGGTTCGGCTGAGTGTGAGCGAAGATGGCGACAGAGTGAAGGAGACCACGGAAAGATGACAAGCCCCCTACAGACAGACAAACGCGCACAAGCTCTTCACCCCGCCGCCTCAGATATGCCCGTGAATAAGTAAGACACGGCTGCGTACAATGTGTTTTCAAGGAGATGCGGGGTAGGTGATGGAGTCTTGCGGGCGGCATGTGCTTTATCATGCACTGTCTCGGTAATTCAGACGCAGGTGTTTGCAGTGCAGATTCGTTTTGAAAAGCAGGTGAAAACGATGCTTCGAGCCATCATGTAAACGCCGCGGTGGGGAATATTGCGGAGGAGACCCGCCCGTGTGAGCTCGCGCTTTGTCTCCCCCTCTAAAATATGATCACGGGCGCCTGGCGGTGTGGAAGGAAACTTGACGCTGAGTTAGAAATCTGCCGCGCGACCGAGCCCATCGACAAACCGTGCTGTGAGCCGGAGAAGGTGCAGAGATGGCGCATGAGCCTCGCATCGCTGCTCTTTTTCACGGCGCTTCTGTCCGATCACCTCTGGCTCTGCGCGGGAGGCAAGCTCCGCTCGAGAGATCGGACTAACCGGAGGACGTGGAGCAACGCGAGTCACGACGCCCAGACGGGCCTTCGCGATGAGGACTGCGGGGTCCTCTTGAGCAATCTGACACAAACCGGGCCAGAGTGCGTGGATGCTGATGCGCGGCGCCGCGCGCCTCTGGAGTCCGCGTGCTCTACGCTTTACCGACAGAAGAGCGGCTCGGTGAGCTCCTCCTATTCTATACCGGTACCCACGGTGTCGCCGCACGGGTTTTTGGAGTACTTCCGGAATTTCAGCTTGTCGTTTTGCGACGCACTCACAATAGCGGACCTGCTGGAGAGCATGACTAGCCCGGACGGGCTTAACTGCAGCCTGGCGCTTGTCATTCATGACCTGTTCAGTGGAGGACCGGAGGACGGGGACGTGTGCAGCGCTTGTGTTCACGCGTACATACGACTCGACCAACATGCTCAGGAAAAATATGAGGAGTTTGACGTAATAACGCGCAAATACATGGCGGATGACTACTCGGTGCGCTCGCAAACACACCTGTGTCAGGTGAGATGCGCTAGGCTAGTTACTACCATCAACACTTTGGATGAGGTTGTGTAGATGGATTTAAATGCTCTTCAGAAAGCACGTAATGCCATAAGCATAAATAATGTGAGCATGGTAATATTTTGTGGTTTCAGGCAGTGTATAAAGCCTGGCTTTGTGCAGAATACTTTCCGGTTCCCCAACGGCGGTGTGCAAGGTGGCTTCCGTGCAGGCGCTACTGTGGCGAGGTCACTGCTAGCTGCCCCTTCATCCTACCAGACAACGACCGTCTGCTGTATGCCGGCCTGCCCAGCTTTCTCTGTGCAGGTAAACGTCTATCAACGCAGGTAACACTGTACACTATAAGGCTCAAAACTGTATGGACAACCCCTTCTATTGCAGTAAATGTACAGAATTGTGTGCTTCCAACGTGGTTGCAACAGTCTGGTCCTGGTTGCATGAAACTCCTTAAGTGATACATTTTAAGGTTAAGGGTATACCCTTAGACATGGGTTGCAAGAAAAAAAAAAGTAAGCATCCATTTAAGGAACCTTAAGGCTGTCATTAAGTATTTTCCCTTAATTTAAAGTGTTAGTTCACCCAAAAAATGGAATTTTCTCACCCTCAAGCTATCCTAGATGTATGACTTTCTTATTTCAGCCGAACACAATTGAAGTTGCATTTAAACAATATCCTGGCTGTTCCAATCTTTATAATGGGAGTGAATGGAAACTGTGAATAGATTTTGAAACCCCAAAAAGTGCATCCATCCATCCATCCATCCATCCATCCATCCATCATGAAAGTAATCTATATGGCTGTTAATAAAGGCCTTCTTGAAGCAAAGCGGTCTGTTTTTGTAAAAAAAAAAAAAAAAAAAATCATATTTTTTACTTTATAAACTGTAATTTTCGGTAACAGCCGCACACAAGTCTAATTCTGGTGGAAGAGTGCAACAACGTGTATCGTCAAAGATCAAATCAAATGATCAACAACGTTTTCAAAATCTTCCACTGTGTGCTAGAATTAATAATCTCATGCCAGGCTTTCATCTTGTGCACAAGAGTGACTTGGGTGTTTTCCCTTGGGTGTTTTAATAATTAATTATTTGAATTAATTATTAAAATTAATTTAGAAGTTTGGTTTAGACACCTGACAAGTTTGAATCCTAACGGTTCGAGAGATATGCGATTAACAGACAGACAGACTCACAGATAGACAGTTTGGCTGCAGTTTGTAATAATCTACATTATCAAAGTTTCAATGACAAATTTCTAAAGCTTTAACACTCACATTTGTATTTACATGCTTTTTGTGCTCCTTGGGAAACTAATGATAATGATATTTTAACTATCCAGTCAAATCAAATGTGTTATGTGGCATTCAATGACATGCTTTTTAAATGATATAGGCTATTGGTGAATGATAGTACTAGTAGTAGTAATAATAATAATAACAATATACACCAAAATATGTTATAAATATAAATATATAATAGATATTGTCTTATTAGTGTCATGATTACCTGTATCTCTGTTACATAAACTCTTATTTTGATATTCTTTTTTCTTGTTTGTGCAGCCAGTTCACAGTGTTGCCAAGTCCGCTTATTCTAAGCGACTTGGGCTTGTTTTTCTGTAAAGTCGCTTGCAAATAATGGGAGGTGTGGGTTGCGGGTTTTTTTTTGGGGGGGGGGGCTTGTTTTGTTTCTAAAGTCTAGTTGCTTATTTGGGCTTGTTTCCAGCTCGTTGCCAAGCAGATAGTTTCTATGTTATTTAAAAGTAGGAGTTTGTCTTGCCTGTTCCCTCTCTCCCTTCCCCATTCAAAGAATTTTTTTTCCCACCACATCCTGCTTCTAATTGGCTCTGACCCAGATGGCAACGAGTACTAGCCAATCAGAGGCAGAGCAGGGCAATCTTTTTTTTTTTTTTTTGATGACGTTAAAATGAATACACGTGCGAGTCTGGACCATCGCGACTGACTGGACTGTAGGAGAGTTTTATATCAATTATATGTTAGATATTTTAACAATGTAAAAATATATTTTTTCTATTTTATATAAAATACATATATTACAAAATATATTTTACTCTAAAACTGCAAGAAAATGTAAGCCAAAATAAGCTTTCAGTCAGATTTTATTTGGGCGCAGTACCAACACAAGATGGACAGCCAAGCTTTATTACAGAAGAAAAATAAACTGTACCATGTGCACAGTTTACCAACCTGTCCATGTGGATGTAAATTGACATTCACAGTTTAAAACTATCCGATCCGTCCCCACAGATTGTAAAACCGTCCCGGAACCTAGGGGGGCTCCGTAGAAAAAAGCTCTTTTACTGTCTATGAGAAAAAGTCGCTTGTTTTGGGCTTGTTTTCACCGGCTTGGTTGCTTATTTGTCTCGCGAGGTCTGGCAACACTGCCAGTTCAGTTCCTGTGGTTTAGTTCCTGTTTCTCTTGTTTCCATTGCTGTCTTGTTAGATTCCTTGGCAACCCTGGTTTGTTACTATGACCACATATAACCTACACCTGTCCTTCATTTTGCCCTTTGACATCTTGTGTATATAAGGGGTTGTTTACCTGATACCGTTTTCCCTTTTTATGTGTTTTCGCCATTCATTTACACGGCAACAGCGGTTTTTGGTGGCCTGAAACAAAAAGCTTTTCTTTTTGGGTTTCAAAGTGCAAGTTTTTGAAAATTATACTGTTATCATCAATGTAAATGACAAATTTTTACAAATGGGGACGTAATGCACATGCGTATTACATTTTCATCTTCATGTTGCTATAGGCTTGTCATATCACAAACTACTGGCATGGCAGCATAACACGTTTTAAATCATTTTCGCACATCAGTGAGTGTTAATGGTGATCAGTTTGAGAACATTGTCTGTACACAAAAAAAGCAAAGAAAACACTTCCCTGAAACCTTAGTTATTTTCTGTTCTTGGTTGTGGAGATTCCTTGTGTTTAATTAGTTCGTGTGTGTCAAGCCAGCGCGTGACAAATGGCTGACAATTGGAATGTGTGGAGGCGTTTTTATCGGGATTTTTTGATGAACAGGAAATAGGTGGAAATATAGAAATGTGAATTCTTTTAAATTATTTTAAAATGTTTGGTATTATAAATGTCTTTAGTGTCTTTTTCAAATTTGTATTGCACATTTTGCACATTTACAAAGCGGGACAGAGAGCATACTTTTAAGTCACATAACAATTACTAACATCCCAAAAAGCAATATTAAGGTTGAGAACCAGTGTTCTGTATAGACCTCACAGTGTGCACAGGCTCCTTGCTATGCTGGAATAGAAAAGGGCATTCTTCAAATTGTTGAAGTTGAAGAAAACAATGAA